TCTGAATTTCAGATTCATGGGCTGGTGGCGCACTTATTTGTGGAGGAAATGGCACCACATATTCTTCCACGATCTCTGAGCTTGATGCAGGAGAATAACCAGATGACGGAGATGTATCTGAAGCTTTTACTCTCTCACGGTGAACCTCAAAGTGACCCGACACAGCAGAAGTAGGCTCATCTTTACTTCCAGAAGTTGAAGTCATCATCACATCTTCTGGTGCCAGAGATGTTGTATCTACAGCCTGTGCTCTCTCACTCTGAACCTCAAAGTCATCCAACATAACCTTCAAGTCATCCAACATAACCTTCAAGTCAACCGACATAGCAGAAGTCGACTCATCTTCACTCCCAGATGTTGAAGCCATCAGCACAGCTTTCGGTGCCAGAGATGTTGTATCAGCACCCTGTACTCTCTCACTTTGAACCTCAAAGTGACCTGATATAGCAGAAGTCAACTCATCTTTACTTTCGGAGGTTGAAGTCATCCCCATAGATTCTGATGCTGTAAGCCCCAGACCTTTTTCATGAAGCCCTGTCGAACAAGGAAAAGGATTGATGAGCTCGGGTACCTCGTCTTTTTTAGGCTCATCTTTTTTCTTATTATCATCTGCCTTCTTTGGCTTTTCTTTCTTGGCCTCTTCCTTCTTCTTCTCTGGTTCTTTTGCTGGTCCAACTGATACTAGCTCTATTAAACATAGCTTTCTCAGTTTCTTCACTATACTTACTGGATCAAAATTCTCTCCAATTACTGTCAATTTATTGTTGTTCATGTCTACTGCGATTGAATCAATCCCTGTAAAATTACACCACAGAGCAACTCATATTGGTCAATTTTTCACCTTTGGATAACAGTATAGATCAAAGTTACAGTTTTTCCTTTCAGTTCATTTCCAAGCAACCAAAAACAAAGGAAAAGCTTAAATTCAATACCTGGAAGGCCACAGACTCTCTTCATGACTTTTTGCTTCATTTTGTCATCCAGTGGTTGCAATTTGAACACTACTTTCTGTGATAAAAACAAGATCGAATACAATTAGGAACCTTATAGAAAACAGAGCATGAACCTAAAAGATAGAGAACCTGGAGCAAAGAGAAAATACTCACCATCATTTTTATTGTCTTGAGAGATCTGAACTGAATCTAGTCTTCGTCTAGGCAATCAATCAGTGAATAATAAAGTGGACAAACGAGCCACAAAAACTTGTAATCGAAGTGAATTGGTCTCTCTCAATCACGTGTAGGGACAATCCAGTCAACTCAGTAAACATAAAATACCTTTAGAGGACATTTGGCTAATATTAGATTAATGGGAATGTTGAATTACTGGAAAGATAGATTATCTTAGAAGATTACTGTGAATCTTTAGAAAAATAAATTATCTTAGAAGATTATTG